TATTATGGTTTATAATGGCAAATGATACTTTGAATATTACATGTTAATAACTTGATTGGAATTATAACCTTGAATTGACAGTTTGATACTTTGAAAATTTTGAGCCAGCCCTACCCCCAAGGGCTGTAGGGTGGGGCTCAAAGGAGTCAATGTGCTAAAATTTCTTCATTTTCCTTGTTTAGAATCAGAGGTGCTAGTTTCAAATCCTTTTTAGTCTGAAATCTGTATGCTAGATATTGAATAAGGTGGTTTTATTGTTTTTTCTCACTTTGAATAATATTTCTGTTCATGTTAAAAACAAAATCAACTCTCTGTATAAATATATCAGGTGAACGTTAAGGCCCATGGGCCTCTTGTTTTACCTAGGGTGCATATTTATATTACGTTAGAAACAATAGGTTGGCAAATCTGCATTTGTGAAATTGCTTCGGGGAGGGGGCATATTGTGACACCGACACGAACTGACAAAGTAGGCGAAGCATAAATTATTTCACTTACGGGGCACATAAAAGTACACATTTATGCGCGTACATACCCTAATTCCCTTAGGAGCTCTATCTAAATCAGAGATTTATATCTATCGTTGTAAATCTCTGATTTAGATAGAGTTCCTACAGGAATTAGTACACACCCCAGGCGGCACATCAGCATTGTCGTTGATAAACATCTCCTTTGCACTGAAACCGACTAGACTTGCACAGGCCTAGCTTTCGTGGAGCTGATAGAGTGACAAACACATTGAAATCAGTAGACCTTTGAGTCAAACATATTCCCTGTCTGTGAAAGGTCAAAACTGGTAAAATTCGCTCCGTAGCTACTCTTGTCGATCATTTGAGTTGGCCTTTACCCTCCCGTGTTCCTATTTCCCGGCGAAGTAGTCGAGACTACCGGCGAAGTTGATCTGTTCCGGTCTTTTTAACCAATCAGAATGTGGCAAATTTTGAAGCCCGCGACTTTCAGACCACAAATATTTTTATTGCTTAACCTGATTCGTCAAAAATGTCGAAAAATTAAATTTTTAAACCCGTTTTAACGAAGAAACATTTCAAACCATAACGAATATGTTTGCAAAGTTCACACAAATAAGTTACGATGTGAAACATATTTTCTATTCCCACAGAGATGTTTAAAACGGTGATTTTTTAGCTTCTGATCTATTAATAACCAATCAGAGCGTCGCAAATTTTAAAGTCCGTTCTCCACGATATAAAGAAAAAAGATTGCATAGTATTGTAGTTTCGTTTTGTGTTACTATATATAGATTTTTGCTTGAACTATGTATATATACCACGCATACGATACAAAAAGAGCTCGCTGCGCTCACTATAAAAAGACAAGGTAATGTCCACAATGAACGTTTTACAAACTACACAATAAAAAAAAAATCGACCTCGTCTTGTTTTTGCCATGTAAAATGAAAAGTAAAAATACCGCCCTGCCGCATATATTTTGAAAACAAATGGCCTGAGAACCAAGTAATTAATTTTATTTGGCCTTAATGAGAATAAGACATGTATATTTGTGCTCCAACAGATAAGAAACGTGGATGCCAATCTATGTATAGACACGCGATACAAAGGGCAGAATGAGAGATTCCAACTGGAGCCCTGCCTCAAGGATGGAAAAGGAGGAGGGGAACAGGTATATCTAAAGTGTAGCTTATTTAATCAAAAGACTTTGCTACAGAACAAAATGTCTGAAGCGAAAAATAATGATAACTGCGAATATTAGAGTAGATCACAGATTTATATTTCAGCACAATGAGTTTCACAGTAGTGTTTAAAATAAAGAAGTTTACTGCATTATGTTCAAATCAATGTTAAGAATATGTAACCGTTTTTTAAAATATCAGTTTTAGCTATTACCAAAAAACACACTTTTTTTTTTTTAAAGCATGGAACAATAAGTCACTCCAATAAAATGGCAATAGATTTCAAAATTGAAATAAAAAAAATAAACAAATTCAAATTCAAAAAAGTTATTTTTTTATTTAACAATTGATAAAAGCGTACCCTCTCAGCTCTCTGCTCTATGAATACTTAAAGAAGATATTGAAATTTACATCACTTCATTTGTGATTTTTTCCAGGAGTTCCAATTTTCCTGGCACAAAGATATACGTCCAGGGAAGCGAAGTGTCTGCTTTGATGTTTCACAGTCTATTAAAAAATCTCCCATCATCCTTTTTAATTGCCATGGGATGGGAGGCAATCAAAGATTTAAATATAATTTAGTAAGTACAACTTCAGTATTAACAGAACAAAACACTGTTCTACCTTGATATATCACAGATAAACCCTGTATTTCACTGTTATAAATAGTTTTTGTTTGCTCCATTGTCACTGTCAGTAGCATATTCACTGAAATTACAACCCAGAGCATATGAAACAAATGATAAACAGAGCAGGGACACTAGTTTAGATGAGAAAATACAAACTTCTTCAGCAACAAAGCTGACGAATCTTGCATATCATAAATATTCTAGAGTTGGTAGCTTTCGATTGGATCACCTGTGGCAGGGCAACTTGTGTTGGGCATTTAACCCATTCTCCCCAAGAGTCACATTTAGACCTTACCAAATGATAGACTGGGCTTGTCTAGTTTAAATATGTAGGAGTGAATGAGTTTGGTAAAACTATTGCTGGTCAGCGTCCTAATTTATGATTTCTCACGGTATATACATGTAAATGAAATTAAGATAAAATGAAAAATGGTTAGGTAAATCTCTCTTAGGTAGAGGGATAAATTTAGGTAAATCTCCCCAAGGTTAAGGGGTATAGATAGGTAAATCTCTCCAAAGTAGAGGAGTATAGTTAGGTAAATCTCTCCAAAGCTGAGAGATATAGTGAGGTTAACTTCTCCAAGGTAGAGGGGTATAGTTAGGTAAATCTCTCCAAGGTAGAGGGGTATAGTTAGGTAAATATCTCCAAGGTAGAGGGGTATCGTTAGGTAAATCTCTCCAAAATAGAGGGGTATAGTTAGGTAAATCTCTCCGAGGTAGAGGGGTATAGTTAGGTAAATCTCTCCAAGGTAGAGGGTATAGTTAGGTAAACCTCTCCAAGGTAGAGGGGTATAGTTAGGTAAATCTCTCCAAGGTAGAGGGGTATAGTTAGGTAAATCTCTCCAAGGTAGAGGGGTATAAATTAGTATTGTTAGTTGGTACATCATTCTCTAGGATATTCTTATTAGTATTGTTAATTGGTACATCATTCTCTAGGTTATTCTTATTAGTATTGTTAGTTGGTACATCATTCTCTAGGATATTCTTATTAGTATTGTTAGTTGGTACATCATTCTCTAGGATATTCTTATTAGTATTGTTAGTTGGTACATCATTCTCTAGGATATTCTTATTAGTATTGTTAGTTGGTACATCATTCTCTAGGATATTCTTATTAGTATTGTTAGTTGGTACATCATTCTCTAGGATATTCTTATTAGTATTGTTAGTTGGTACATCATTCTCTAGGATATTCTTATTAGTATTGTTAGTTGGTACATCATTCTCTAGGATATTCTTATTAGTATTGTTAGTTGGTACATCATTCTCTAGGATATTCTTATTAGTATTGTTAGTTGGTACATCATTCTCTAGGATATTCTTATTAGTATTGTTAGTTGGTACATCATTCTCTAGGATATTCTTATTAGTATTGTTAGTTGGTACATCATTCTCTAGGATATTCTTATTAGTATTGTTAGTTGGTACATCATTCTCTAGGATATTCTTATTAGTATTGTTAGTTGGTACATCATTCTCTAGGATATTCTTATTAGTATTGTTAGTTGGTACATCATTCTCTAGGATATTCTTATTAGTATTGTTAGTTGGTACATCATTCTCTAGGATATTCTTATTAGTATTGTTAGTTGGTACATCATTCTCTAGGATATTCTTATTAGTATTGTTAGTTGGTACATCATTCTCTAGGATATTCTTATTAGTATTGTTAGTTGGTACATCATTCTCTAGGATATTCTTATTAGTATTGTTAGTTGGTACATCATTCTCTAGGATATTCTTATTAGTATTGTTAGTTGGTACATCATTCTCTAGGATATTCTTATTAGTATTGTTAGTTGGTACATCATTCTCTAGGATATTCTTATTAGTATTGTTAGTTGGTACATCATTCTCTAGGATATTCTTATTAGTATTGTTAGTTGGTACATCATTCTCTAGGATATTCTTATTAGTATTGTTAGTTGGTACATCATTCTCTAGGATATTCTTATTAGTATTGTTAGTTGGTACATCATTCTCTAGGATATTCTTATTAGTATTGTTAGTTGGTACATCATTCTCTAGGATATTCTTATTAGTATTGTTAGTTGGTACATCATTCTCTAGGATATTCTTATTAGTATTGTTAGTTGGTACATCATTCTCTAGGATATTCTTATTAGTATTGTTAGTTGGTACATCATTCTCTAGGATATTCTTATTAGTATTGTTAGTTGGTACATCATTCTCTAGGATATTCTTATTAGTATTGTTAGTTGGTACATCATTCTCTAGGATATTCTTATTAGTATTGTTAGTTGGTACATCATTCTCTAGGATATTCTTATTAGTATTGTTAGTTGGTACATCATTCTCTAGGATATTCTTATTAGTATTGTTAGTTGGTACATCATTCTCTAGGATATTCTTATTAGTATTGTTAGTTGGTACATCATTCTCTAGGATATTCTTATTAGTATTGTTAGTTGGTACATCATTCTCTAGGATATTCTTATTAGTATTGTTAGTTGGTACATCATTCTCTAGGATATTCTTATTAGTATTGTTAGTTGGTACATCATTCTCTAGGATATTCTTATTAGTATTGTTAGTTGGTACATCATTCTCTAGGATATTCTTATTAGTATTGTTAGTTGGTACATCATTCTCTAGGATATTCTTATTAGTATTGTTAGTTGGTACATCATTCTCTAGGATATTCTTATTAGTATTGTTAGTTGGTACATCATTCTCTAGGATATTCTTATTAGTATTGTTAGTTGGTACATCATTCTCTAGGATATTCTTATTAGTATTGTTAGTTGGTACATCATTCTCTAGGATATTCTTATTAGTATTGTTAGTTGGTACATCATTCTCTAGGATATTCTTATTAGTATTGTTAGTTGGTACATCATTCTCTAGGATATTCTTATTAGTATTGTTAGTTGGTACATCATTCTCTAGGATATTCTTATTAGTATTGTTAGTTGGTACATCATTCTCTAGGATATTCTTATTAGTATTGTTAGTTGGTACATCATTCTCTAGGATATTCTTATTAGTATTGTTAGTTGGTACATCATTCTCTAGGATATTCTTATTAGTATTGTTAGTTGGTACATCATTCTCTAGGATATTCTTATTAGTATTGTTAGTTGGTACATCATTCTCTAGGATATTCTTATTAGTATTGTTAGTTGGTACATCATTCTCTAGGATATTCTTATTAGTATTGTTAGTTGGTACATCATTCTCTAGGATATTCTTATTAGTATTGTTAGTTGGTACATCATTCTCTAGGATATTCTTATTAGTATTGTTAGTTGGTACATCATTCTCTAGGATATTCTTATTAGTATTGTTAGTTGGTACATCATTCTCTAGGATATTCTTATTAGTATTGTTAGTTGGTACATCATTCTCTAGGATATTCTTATTAGTATTGTTAGTTGGTACATCATTCTCTAGGATATTCTTATTAGTATTGTTAGTTGGTACATCATTCTCTAGGATATTCTTATTAGTATTGTTAGTTGGTACATCATTCTCTAGGATATTCTTATTAGTATTGTTAGTTGGTACATCATTCTCTAGGATATTCTTATTAGTATTGTTAGTTGGTACATCATTCTCTAGGATATTCTTATTAGTATTGTTAGTTGGTACATCATTCTCTAGGATATTCTTATTAGTATTGTTAGTTGGTACATCATTCTCTAGGATATTCTTATTAGTATTGTTAGTTGGTACATCATTCTCTAGGATATTCTTATTAGTATTGTTAGTTGGTACATCATTCTCTAGGATATTCTTATTAGTATTGTTAGTTGGTACATCATTCTCTAGGATATTCTTATTAGTATTGTTAGTTGGTACATCATTCTCTAGGATATTCTTATTAGTATTGTTAGTTGGTACATCATTCTCTAGGATATTCTTATTAGTATTGTTAGTTGGTACATCATTCTCTAGGATATTCTTATTAGTATTGTTAGTTGGTACATCATTCTCTAGGATATTCTTATTAGTATTGTTAGTTGGTACATCATTCTCTAGGATATTCTTATTAGTATTGTTAGTTGGTACATCATTCTCTAGGATATTCTTATTAGTATTGTTAGTTGGTACATCATTCTCTAGGATATTCTTATTAGTATTGTTAGTTGGTACATCATTCTCTAGGATATTCTTATTAGTATTGTTAGTTGGTACATCATTCTCTAGGATATTCTTATTAGTATTGTTAGTTGGTACATCATTCTCTAGGATATTCTTATTAGTATTGTTAGTTGGTACATCATTCTCTAGGATATTCTTATTAGTATTGTTAGTTGGTACATCATTCTCTAGGATATTCTTATTAGTATTGTTAGTTGGTACATCATTCTCTAGGATATTCTTATTAGTATTGTTAGTTGGTACATCATTCTCTAGGATATTCTTATTAGTATTGTTAGTTGGTACATCATTCTCTAGGATATTCTTATTAGTATTGTTAGTTGGTACATCATTCTCTAGGATATTCTTATTAGTATTGTTAGTTGGTACATCATTCTCTAGGATATTCTTATTAGTATTGTTAGTTGGTACATCATTCTCTAGGATATTCTTATTAGTATTGTTAGTTGGTACATCATTCTCTAGGATATTCTTATTAGTATTGTTAGTTGGTACATCATTCTCTAGGATATTCTTATTAGTATTGTTAGTTGGTACATCATTCTCTAGGATATTCTTATTAGTATTGTTAGTTGGTACATCATTCTCTAGGATATTCTTATTAGTATTGTTAGTTGGTACATCATTCTCTAGGATATTCTTATTAGTATTGTTAGTTGGTACATCATTCTCTAGGATATTCTTATTAGTATTGTTAGTTGGTACATCATTCTCTAGGATATTCTTATTAGTATTGTTAGTTGGTACATCATTCTCTAGGATATTCTTATTAGTATTGTTAGTTGGTACATCATTCTCTAGGATATTCTTATTAGTATTGTTAGTTGGTACATCATTCTCTAGGATATTCTTATTAGTATTGTTAGTTGGTACATCATTCTCTAGGATATTCTTATTAGTATTGTTAGTTGGTACATCATTCTCTAGGATATTCTTATTAGTATTGTTAGTTGGTACATCATTCTCTAGGATATTCTTATTAGTATTGTTAGTTGGTACATCATTCTCTAGGATATTCTTATTAGTATTGTTAGTTGGTACATCATTCTCTAGGATATTCTTATTAGTATTGTTAGTTGGTACATCATTCTCTAGGATATTCTTATTAGTATTGTTAGTTGGTACATCATTCTCTAGGATATTCTTATTAGTATTGTTAGTTGGTACATCATTCTCTAGGATATTCTTATTAGTATTGTTAGTTGGTACATCATTCTCTAGGATATTCTTATTAGTATTGTTAGTTGGTACATCATTCTCTAGGATATTCTTATTAGTATTGTTAGTTGGTACATCATTCTCTAGGATATTCTTATTAGTATTGTTAGTTGGTACATCATTCTCTAGGATATTCTTATTAGTATTGTTAGTTGGTACATCATTCTCTAGGATATTCTTATTAGTATTGTTAGTTGGTACATCATTCTCTAGGATATTCTTATTAGTATTGTTAGTTGGTACATCATTCTCTAGGATATTCTTATTAGTATTGTTAGTTGATACATCATTCTCTAGGATATTCTTATTAGTATTGTTAGTTGGTACATCATTCTCTATATTATGTTTGAGTTGTACACTCCAAAAGTTGAGTGAAAGTAAGTGTTAAAGTAGCTCTCAGTTCAGAATATCGGGGAGTTAAACTGGTTCATTGCAGCAGAAAGAATATCAGGGAGTAAAACTGGTTCATTGCAGCAGAAAGAATATCAGGGAGTTAAAAGCTGATCCATTGCAGCAGAAAGAATATCAGGGAGTTAAAAGCTGATCCATTGGAGCAGAAAGAATATCAGGGAGTTAAAAGCTGATCCATTGCAGCAGAAAGAATATCACTCACTGGGAGTTAAAAGCTGATTCATTGCAGTAGAAAGAATATCAGGGAGTTAAAAGCTGATCCATTGCAGCAGAAACAAACGATTGATAAAATAGTATCTGCTGCAGGTCTAAACTTGACAATAAACTAAATTATTTTTTAATTGAAATTGTTTCTCTCTTCAGGACACATCACAGATTTACCATGTGATCAGTAATCAGTGTTTAGACTGCGATGCCGGCAGTCACGAACTCTTCACAAATCCATGTGATAAAAACTTAAAATCACAGCAATGGAAAATACAGACCGTAAATGAAACAGCACTTAGAGCGGAATGGGTTGCAGCGTAGTGATCGACAGTACCGTCTGGTGGTGAGACATTTACCGTGCCTGGCTCTGCTGATCAACAACAGATTCACAGGCACAACCATAACTTGTGTTATTAATTGATGATCTATTTGTAGTGCACAAAAACATAGGGGTTTCCTTATTTGTCAGAATTATTGTCCAATCATCAAATGTTTGAGCTATCAACAAATATCAGTATGTTGTATATGTTGAGCAGAAAATAATATACAGTTATCAGCCAAGACATCTCAGATCTTCTCTGGAGAGAAAAGTTCAGCCATAAATAAATTAAACTTATGAGTGAAATGAGAGTTAATTCTGAAAAGTTCCTGTACATTTGACAGACACTACACAGGTTTGTATTGGTGGAATGATATTGGTGATAGATCAAACTTATGGTTCTAGGTCAAACGTTTGGTAGTAAAAAGTAATATGTTACTGTGCATTTGTTTAACCCTTTGCCCAACGTCAGCATCTTTTGACTCTTTACAAAGTCACAGTGCCACATGACATCCTACTGTTTCGGTTTATAGTACCAAAGAACATGTGTTATGTAAAAACTATTGAATCAAATGTGATCGTTTCTAACATTAATTCTCTTATAATCAAAATGTCCTAAAAATTTCACCTGGCAAATGCAGTCTCGGAGAAAAGCAAATAAACCAAAGTTTGATTCGTACAAAAACTTCATAGAATTGATGTTGATACGTCGTTTCCAATAAATACAGAACGGATGGGTGTATTGGCTTGCAAAGGGTTAGATAATATTTTATTACACTTATTAGATGAATTATCTTTTCATGTCAAATGTTTAAGAACGAACCATGGATTTTGTCCAGTTTTATCATCTTTTTCGCAGATTGTTGAAATTTTTTGAATTTATAGATGTTTTAACTTCTTTTTCAGAAGGTGTTACAAATACCATCTGAGTGTAGTATACCTTGCAATATTCCCTGAAGTTACAAAATATGTCATGCAACTTTTCATATTTAAGAAAAGGATATTTTTTAAATGATTTTTTCATACATAAATATAAATCATATTGTAAGAAAGATCCTATTTATTTTTTTGAACCTTGTGTGTGGTGTTGTGCTTCATACAGTGTGTACTAACTTGTATCAAATATTTATTTTTTGTGCACAAAAATTTCATATATCGGATTATTATTAAGGTACTTTCTGACCAAATATAAAACATTTTGGTATTGTAGAGAATGTCCATAGTATTGTACTTAACTGGAACTTTTTGCTTTTAATACGTATTTCTGTTATTTTCAAAAGAAAAACAGATAAATTATTTATTATAGATTAAGACTAGAGTTTGCTAGATCTGTGTGTGTCACAAGTTTTATCCAAAAGTCCCATTTATTGTTGATATGCTTTTTTCTGTCCAGTTTGTTTGTATATCTCTACTGTAATTTAGACTCTTTCTAAAGATTTTCTCTCTAAAAGGGGTAATAGTATTTATTATAAACACAGTATTGTCAGCAAGGTTTGTGTTTGTTATAAATCATTGCTTAGATATCTCATTGTGTGTAGTTCTAGAAATCTTCATTAGCCCACAATTTAAACATGAAAATGATTTTGTAAACCAAGGATGTAAATAACCACTTAAATTTACCTTTACAAATGAAAAAGATTTTGTAAACCGAGGTTGTAAATAACCACTTAAATTTACCTTTACAAATCAAAAGGATTTTGTAAACCAAGGTTGTAAATAACCACTTAAATTTACCTTTACAAATGAAATAAATAGAAAGTCATTTTATTAAACGACACGCCATATTGTAATGTAAAATTTGATTCTCCGATGTTTTCATAATTGTTAAAATACAAAAGTGTATGTTATCAGTTAAATAAAATGGTTAACTGTTTTGTTTTGAGAAAAAAAATCAGACTTATTTGCAGCGAGTTTCCTTCAATGGCTTTATGATGAGATTGTCATATTTTTTTTTCAAAATGAAATGTTTTGGGAATATTTTTCAAACATTTATTAGTAGTGTTGTATATATTATCTGAGAGTGAAACTTTTAAATCTCAGGAAATAGATACTTTGTCTAAATATTAAATTCCACAATTTTAAAATAAGTAATCTTTTTGTTGATTCAATTTTTGTATCATGGTTAGGAAACATGATCCAATAAACTCCAGACCAACGACTTGTTCACAGACTGGTGCTGATCGATTACTGAATTATCTTTGTCGCTCTACAAGTACTGAACCAGGTGATCTTACCTAATAAACAATGTGCTATTTGTTCATTACAAGGAATGTTTTGCTCTGCTAGCATGTGTACTTGTTGCTTTAATAATCTTGTGAATATTAGACTACTTTTATTATAATTCAGACACATATTGTGTTAAAACTTGTACATAGGTACTCATATTTTCATAGCAACACATTCTAGATTCATGATATCCTGATTGAAGAAAGTGATTCTACCACATCTGGTTAAATATCTACTGATTCAAATAAATTTAATTTTTTTTGTATGCTTTGCTAACAATGGCTTTAAGTATTAACAGCGCATTGCTGAATTTCCATATTACAATTCTTTTCGATTGAATTTTATAGATATCACAGTCCAAGGGGGATAACTACCATTTTATAGATCCTACAGTACAAGGGAGATAACTGCCTTGTGTTAACATAAAAATGTGAATGACCATATATAGCCGTGTATGAGAGATTGGCTTGTATATACCTTCAGGGTTTGTCATTTACAGTGTACAGAATGATGTCCTTTAATGTAGTGACCTACCTCAGGAGTAACATGTTACGTCTAGTGAATGAACGCAGAAACATCACAAAATTGATACAGCATGTAATGCCTGTCACTTTCTATACTAGGGGGAGTTTTATTAATACATGTAGCAACACTTTGGTTCTCAGAACAATGTCACAGATTTAAGGTTTCCAGATCAATAAACAAGGAATTACTTATTAAGAATGTATGCTACCATACTGTTGTTGGACTCCTCCATTTCAAAATAGTTTTCCGTTAAAAACATCTAAACATCTCTGTTAATCCATTCACCCCTTGAGTTACATTTGAACCTAACCTGACCTGGCAAGTCCATTTTAAGGAGGTAGGGATGAATGAGTTAAATCTTTATTCTGTATATGTAAATATTAGCCTGATTCATAAATTCAGGGTATATTTCTAGGTAAAGTTGTGTGATGAAATCTTGTAGTGAACATTCATATATACAAAAAAAGTTGTACACAAAAGAATTACCAACAGTAGATTTACATTTAATTGCATATTGTGTATGCTTATTAACACTTTGTTATGAACTTCTCAGAAACTGTGAAGCTTTGGCATGTTATTTGATGAATGACAAAGTTGCAAGAAACATGAAAAGTTGATCATGAGAACCTGCCGTAAACTGTTTTTTATTGAAACAAATTCTGTTAAAACCATTCCTGTATGAAATCGTGTATAGTCTTGTGAAGTGAAAATATATGTTTTTTGATGGTAAGACACAATTTAGGTGACACTTTGTTTAATCAGCCTGTTTTGTGATGACTTTAATTTAAAAAATTGTTACAAAAATGCTTGCAGTATTTTATCATATCTGCTTTTCACAAGCGTTTACATGATGCCTATTATCATTATATTTATTATCAATGCTAACCCTAACCACCACTGTTGTATGTAACGGAGTGTGGAGAATCCCAAAACACTGTTTGTATATAAAGATGTTCATAACAAATCACAGCAGACCTGAAGAAGCTGTTAATTGTATATTAAATTATTTTGTTTAGGAAAACTAAACCATGAATAACTTTTAGAATTCAGGGTACGAATTCATGAAACCGTTCTCATGATGATACTCAGATTCTGAGTTGACTAGATTGCAAAAGGTAACTTAGACTGGTAATGGTTCGCTTCCATTGGTATCATAATGTTTTTTTCGAAGTAGTAGCATTTAACACGTCGGCTTGTTGTAGCTTTGACAATTATGCTGTTTTTATATAATGAATCTCTTTGAAATCCAATTTGAAAACTGCCAGTAAATTTAACATAAATACAGTTGAAGCTTATATTATTGTTGGCAGTGATTTCTCTGTTTTGAGGAAAAACTGTGATGCTTACTGTATTCCAAAATATCTTTTTTTTAGAAAATGCTGAGTTGAAACAAGCTGCATGTCCTTTCCTTTATATGAGTAAAGGGTATTGTGTAAAAAGATCTGGACTTGTAATGAAATCATATTTTTGCAAAAGTTTATTTTGGTAAAAAAAAAATACAACCAGATAAATCTCAGGTGTTGACAAAATCGTTTCTCAAACTCAATCATGATAAAACTGGGGCGAAAAAAAAAGGATGATTATCATGGAGACCCTTGAAAAGTACAAGGAAGACGAGATGTTCCATCATTGTCAGCACCTTCTGCTTTATCTACAACAAGCATTGTAAATCTGTGTCCAAGTAATGTCACACACTCAAAATGAGTAATAGGGTAGTGACAGCAAAACAAGGTCTTCTCAATTCTTCCAAAACTTATCATCTTCTATGCAAAATATTTCTTAGTATCACATTTTACCGTGAATTGATTGCGAAAATGTGAAATGATTGAATGAGAAGGGAGTTATTGTGGATGAATTCGATGACATGATGTGTAGGATCTAGTCTTAGTTCCCGGTATTGTAAGCATACCTTGTTTAGCTGTTTACTCAGCATCGAATGTATTGTACAATGTTAAATGATATATATCATTTCTACCAAATGATCGGAGATACTTAAATTACATTTCACAGATATCAGTTTATTTATTGTTACATTTGTCATTAAATTTTATTTTCGTCGAGAGAGAAGAGGTTATCTCCCTTAGATTATAAAACGACGGTATTTTTGTTTTAATCATATTCTATCTATTGTTACAAAAGTTATCAGGCTTTTATAGTAACTGCTAATGAGAGAATTTCATAAAACAACTTTTAACAGTAATTTAAAGATCTAAGATGGAATACCAAATTTGTGCATAAACATGACCACCACTAGTTGGTGACTTACCAGCATTTGTGCCTCTTTGATCTTTTTACATCACCTTTACTAGTGTTAATTGTGGCCATACTTCTATTTGAGCCACTCTGCCAAATTATGTGAATTTTACACCATATTTGAAGGACAGTTGAATCATAAAGATTTCCGTACATGTCATACACCCAGGGATTGAGTTCTTAAACATCGTAATAAAATTAGCATTGTTTCTACAGTGATCCTATATTCAGAAGTTATTTATTCTAAGACATAACCTTTACATTTGTAAAGGACATAAGACTGGTCTTATTACCAAGAAAAAATTAAGTACATGAAAGTGAGTTATTTTCACTGAAAGTTTCTGTGCCTGATATGAGTGTAAACTCTGTATTAATGAATGAGGTATGAGATGTTTGTTGTATATATGTGTATATCGCTACATACTTATGTATATTTGTAAAGTATACTTGTGATATTTACATTCCAGAGGGTCTTTTTTTAAGGTATTGCACTTCTGTCGTGACTAAGTCATGACATCTTACGAAAATGCACGTTTAAACATCTGACTGGTCTGGTGTCGCTGATACTGTGTTTTAGTGTAAGTATCAACTAGAGTAGGAATAAAGGTTTCATGGTAAAGATATACAACAAGTGTATAGAACCGTTAACAACGAATCACTGGATACACAAATAGCCTGGTAATGTTTAGCGGTGATATTTCGTAAGATATTTTTGTTTTCTTTTTGAATATATTCGCAAATTCGAAACTGTCACAATCTATTTTAAATGTGTATATCATAACAGAAAATGAAGCATAAAATAAAAACTACAAATTTAATCAAGGTAAAAAAAACTGAAAGCTTAAACATTAACAGTATATTACATTATAATACATTGCTTTAAAGTAAACATTTTAGAATCGGAGGATTGTATTAAGTGCTCGCTTGTGTTGATAGGCAGCCCGCTTTACTGTATTTACTCAGTATTTAATCTCAATCACTGATCCAGACACAAATTTCTATACCTCATAGGCCTTGAAAGGATTATCATATACTTGACGTGTACTTGATAAAATTTCTCTCTCATTAGATAGTCACAAAATAAGACGAAGCTCCGTTTTTGTTACTTGTACTTTTTTGTGAATTACTAGTACTTTTTTGTATGCGAGAACACGAAAAATTTGTGAGGCAAATACCTTTCATTAAAAAAAAAGAAGATATTTGATGCATATATATCTCATTTCATTTCTCCTTTTTAATTCATTTGAACCACAACAATATATTATATAACAAAATAAGTAGTTGGAGGACATACACTAATTTAAATTGTGGACAAGTATTAAGTTCTCAAAGTGTGGACTCGAAAGACAAACGTGATGAGTCTCCAAGTGCTATTGGTTTGTTTTCACTATCCATGACATATACAGTAATTGTTTCATATTTTACACACTCTCAAATGTGAAGAAACGTTAATTTGAAAATTATGAAGAGATCAGGAAAAGTTCTTTTATAAAAATGTGTCTAACCAAGTTTATTGCTGTAGTTTTATGTTTAACTTATCTCATGTTTATTCTTAACAGAAAATCTATGACATTATCAGCTAATCCAGGTAACAAGAAGTTTTGATTAAAACTGTCATAGCTCAAAGAATCGACATGACATGTCTTATTTTAGTTTTCATGCGTCTGCCGTTAAAGAGTGAATGGCAAAGCTATTTTATGTAGGATTAAAATAACCCTCATTTTGGCCTGAGTGAAGGAGTTTGAACATGTTTATGATTATGTTGGACAAATTGTGATAAATTGTTTTGTTATATGGTAGAGAATGATGGGTATTTAGTTCTGTTAATAAACATAGTTGTAGTCTATATACAGGGAGGTTTATAGAACACACAAAGACAGGGGTACAGGGAAATAAAAATAAATATGTCTCTTTTTATACAACTCGTCTTTGTGTCATTTGTTCCGTGCTGTTTTTGTAAATGTGATGTTGTCAATTCTAGTCTTTCCATCCGTAAATACGTCAATCTATTCGGTATGTTTACAGTCTTGATCAATTTGATTTTTAACCCACCAATATCAGATGGTGAGTTATTCAAATCACCCTTGGTCCGTGGTCCGTCCGTCCGTCCTTAAACAATTCTTGTGAGCGCTATTTCCCAGAAAGTAAAGGAAGGATCTTTTTTAAATTTCACATGAAGGTTCCCATAGTCCCTAGTTATACATGTTGTTTTTCGGATCTGATCTCAAAGCCAAGATTGCCGACAGCCAGCCATCTTGAATTTGAGAGTTAAAGTTTGTTAGCGCTATTTCACGGAAAGTAGTGGATGGATCTTGCCCAAATTTCACATAAGGGTTCCTCTTTGTTCTTTGTTATGCATATCAAATTTTTGGACTGATCTTAAAAAAAATTGATGCCAACAGGTGGCTATTTTGTTACAGTTAAAATTTACTATTTCTCATAATTAACAGGAGGAATCTTTCTCATTTGATATGTAGGTTCTCCTTGGTCCTGAGTTGTGCCTGCTAACTGTTGAGGTTGATTACAAGACTTTATTTACATAGCACAGGCAAACTGATCAATCGGATAAGAGAAAAGATCGAACTGACCGAACTAATGAAGATGAAGATTGGGCTCCAGGATACCTCTTGGATCTCTTGTATATACATTTTATGCATTATATGTAATTCTTATCTGCTCATCTACATGGGCAAGTAAGAACGGACTTCATGGAATGTGTAGGTAACTGATTTGCGTTCATACCGTCATGAACATTGAATAAATTCAATCCTTATAACCTGGTTAACTGGAGTGCTTTTGCCCAATTGCCCTTCAGTTATCCAAAACTAACGTAAGGATAGATAGAATTGAAAAACCACAGCGAAGTCTCTAGCGTTTTGGCTGCAGTTGGAAAGGTATCCTTATGTTCAAAAGATATCCAGAAGTTTCCATTCAGAATTCACCAATCTGATGCTATTATTGATGACTTTTTTTTTTTTTTTTTTTTTTTTTTTTTTTTTTGGCTTGCTTGGGGTTTAATGCTTTGCCACAGCCAGGGTCATATAAAGATGTGTGCCTGGGGAGACACCAACGGAATGAAGTCTATGGAATCACAAGGGTTTGGAAGATACAGGGTGATGAAATCTATGAAATCACAAGGGTTGGGAAGATACAGGGTGAAGAAGTCTGTGGAATCACAAGGGTTTGGAAGATACAGGGTGAAGAAGAATATGGAATCAAAAGGGTAGGAGATATACAAGGTGATGAAGTCTATGGAATCACAAGGGTTGGGAAGATACAGGGCGAAGAAGAATATGGAATCAAAAGGGTAGGAGATATACAGGGTGATGAAGTCTATGGAATCACAAGGGTTGGGAAGATACAGGGTGAAGAAGTCTGTGGAATCAAAAGGGTAGGAGATATACAGGGTGATGAAATCTATGGAATCACAAGGGTTGGGAAGATACAGGGCGAAGAAGAATATGGAATCAAAAGGGTAGGAGATATACAGGGTGATGAAGTCTATGGAATCACAAGGGTAGGAGATATACAGGGTGATGAAGTCTATGGAATCACAAGGGTTGGGAAGATACAGGGTGAAGAAGTCTGTGGAATCAAAAGGGTAGGAGATATACAGGGTGATGAAATCTATGGAATCACAAGGGTTGGGAAGATACAGGGCGAAGAAGAATATGGAATCAAAAGGGTAGGAGATATACAGGGTGATGAAGTCTATGGAATCACAAGGGTAGGAGATATACAGGGTGATGAAGTCTATGGAATCACAAGGGTTGGGAAGATACAGGGTGAAGAAGTCTGTGGAATCAAAAGGGTAGGAGATATACAGGGTGATGAAATCTATGGAATCACAAGGGTTGGGAAGATACAGGGCGAAGAAGAATATGGAATCAAAAGGGTAGGAGATATACAGGGTGATGAAGTCTATGGAATCACAAGGGTAGGAGATATACAGGGTGATGAAGTCTATGGAATCACAAGGGTTGGGAAGATACAGGGTGAAGAAGTCTGTGGAATCAAAAGGGTAGGAGATATACAGGGTGATGAAATCTATGGAATCACAAGGGTTGGGAAGATACAGGGCGAAGAAGAATATGGAATCAAAAGGGTAGGAGATATACAGGGTGATGAAGTCTATGGAATCACAAGGGTAGGAGATATACAGGGTGATGAAGTCTATGGAATCACAAGGGTAGGAGATATACAGGATGATGAAATCTATGAAATCACAAGGGTAGGAGAGATACAGGATGATGAAGTCTATGAAATCACAAGGGTAGGAGAGATACAGGATGATGAAATCTATGAAATCACAAGGGTTGGAGAGATACAGGGTGATGAAGTCTATGGAATCACAAGGGTTGGAAAATATATCATAGCTATCTAATATTGCACCTTCAATGATTATTTTTATTTGTTTTTTCAGAGGTCATGCTCTAAAGGTCTGGTATCCTTTTCACAAGCTTGATAAAGGGACACGCTTAAAGTGATCATGAACTGTGAACGTAAGCACCGTGGTATATAGCCCTTTGTCAGTATGGTGATCGGAGGAAGAGTTGTGGTGCCTTGTCCAGGTTTTGACATTTCAGTGAGAACACACTATAAAGCGGTCCTGAGTGGCTCCAACATTCACGGACACCGTCATCTTATGGCGTTATTGTTGCAAGGACGAATGTAAAACCATAAACAAAAGAGAGCACTTGCTAGGTGGACCCAAATATTTATCGTTCTCTGTCCAGAAGGACATGTACAGTATTATGCCTGTGTTGGATTGATTTCCTGATTGTGATACGTAGTCCAAATGGGATGTTCTGTTGGTGATTTATCATCTTACCTTACCCAACATAAGAGGTAATAAAATTGAATAAAACACATGAATCAGAAACTCAAAAAGGTTACTTATATGTAACTGTTCAAGGGCTAGTAATGAACTAAAGAAGTTGACAGTTCAGTTTGCCTCTTGGACCGACAATAAAATATATCATAATATGTAAACTAAATCAAAATGCTTTTTACCTTTTTCATTTGGGACGCGACATCACGCTGTTTGTGTATTCATCGTGTAATTGTTCATGGTGTTCATCTGTACATCACAATTAAAGTACACATTACATCAATATCATTGTATCAAAGCAGACCTAACCTTATATCAGAAAAAAACAATCGCATTGTAAACACCGACTTGATTATACATAAACCCTTGAACTATAGAATCTACGATCCATCAAATCAAATCAATTAAGCACGCATTCAACTGCATGATTGATACTTATTCCCCTTAGCATGTTTTCACAATGACTATTGGAAACAATTGTATACTATACATATTCATATTTTTGTAGATAAGTTTGCTAACAGACACTGACATTCCTTATGTTATCATCATGATATGCATTGTTTATGAGAAATGCAAGGAAGATTAGCACATATTGCGGATGTATAGGAAAGAAACGATAAGGAGAAAGCTAGTAGTAGCTCAACAATGTATTTCTCTTAAGATTTCCAGAGTTCCAATGACCTCAACACATACCTGATATGGTTTCACTGTATATACATGTAGGTCTATTCATCGCGTCACTGAAGTCATTATGTGAACGTTATAATAACCCATTACTGATACATTGTAACGTTATAATAACCCATTACTGATACATTGTAACGTTATAATAACCCATTACTGATACATTGTAACGTTATAATAACCCATTACTGATACATTGTAACGTTATAATAACCCATTACTGATACATTGTAACGTTATAATAACCCATTACTGATACATTGTAACGTTATAATAACCCATTACTGATACATTGTAACGTTATAATAACCCATTACTGACACATCGGTTATAAGTACGATGTTGATTAGTATGGTATCTAGTTTTCAGGAGTGTATTTGTATTCTATAATGATACAGTAAGTATACAAACACTTTCGAAACAACAAGTCCCTTCATATATGGTATGGTCACTATAAATTTCGACTCCATACTAAGTCATATCTAAAGAGCCCCAATTTAACAGTGTCCAGATATGTTAATTGAGGATATTGAACTGGAATTGTAGTTCTTAAAATAATGCATAGCGAATATCTAACTTATGTCATACTATCGTTAGGGGGCTTGTTGAACCATATTTTGCGAAACACACTAAAATAATTGCTAGATAGGAGTTTGAGAGATATGTCGAGTGTTTTACGAGACATTATTAAGAACATAGGAAATTGGACTTTGAAATTCGTTGGCCGTAAGGTAGGTTGATAAACGAGATGAGAGTCATAATATTACCATTTAAATGATATAATTTATTTGTTAAATCTTCATCAAATTATTTTATTCGTAATCCATAATTCTCAGGAATTGCTGCAAAGCTGTATATGACAGAAAATAAGAGTGACTTGTTGATAGCCTGGCACTTACTACTTCTGTAATTATTTCTGAGTAATTATGTGATTGTTACTAGAGTTATCTACCTTAACATAGCTATGTTCTCACTTATGGATTGGCAATGCTAATATTCATAAAATTAATGATACTTTTAAGATTTCCCATTGTGGAAAATCGTTTGAAAAGCAGATGCATTGGGTGAGCCGTTAGTATACATCCTAAAATACAATATACCTAGCAAACACATCTAGGGAATAACTTTAATATGTTTGGCTGTGTGCAGGTATTTAAATGGAAATACAACCATACTCTATTTTCAGTAATTGCGACTGAATCTGTAGTGATTTTCAAAGAGGACTACCTCAGACGTTTTAGATGTTATTATAAAAAAAATGAAAAGCTTGTTTATAAAAATAGCAGTAAATGATAGAAATACTAAATCTGACATGTAAATAGCAGATACCTTTCTCTGAATATCTGTTTAGTTATTCGTTCTTCCTTCCTTTATACCAACAACTTGTCTCTTACAACCATTCGT